GTGCAGACTGGTGCACAGTGGGGTGTGTCACCCGTGTTTCACTGCCAAGCCACTGTGTGTGTGTGTGTGTGTGTGTGTGTGTGTGTGTGTGTGTGTGTGTGTGTGTGTGTGTGTGTGTCAGCGACAGTTGGTTGTTATCGCCACTGACTCAAGCATTATGGGAAATTACACACACACACACACACACACACACACACACACACGCGCGCGTCGGAATATTGCACAAAGATGGAGAGGGATAACAGAGAAAAGGGGAGGAAAGATGAAGGAAGGGAGGAGAGGAAGTGAAAGAGATGTCAAGAGATTGTTATAGAAGGATGGAGGACGTCAGGCACAGCCGACCGACAGAGACAGAAACAGATAAAACGTTGGATAAAGAAAGAAAGCTATAGTTATTTAAAAGGTAAAATGTTAAACAAAGTGAGGGCTAAGAAGACATGAAACAGATGGAGAAGAGTGAACAGAGAGAGAGAGGGGATGGAGGATGGAATGAGGAGGAATATCTGGAAAAACTTTGAAAAGGACACACATTCAGATGGATTTACAAAAGGAGGAAGAAAGGATTGAGATAAACCAGACTTAAAAAGGAAATACTGCGACAAGGTGAGAAGTAGTAGGCAGGTGATCCAAATAAAGTCAGAGAGGAAAAAAATGAGACTGATGATGGATGATGTATGGAGCTAAAGGTCAGAACATGCTTTTCTTCGGGCTGCATGTAGGGTAACATGCACAGGATTGGTTTCTTTTATACTGTACGGCTATCGTTTATTTCCCACTACGAACCCGCCTTAGCTTGCTTGGTGCACTGTTGAGATTTGGGAAGTGTGCAGGTCGGGTCCTCGAGACATTCACACGTATCTTCAGAGGACCATAATTCCAGCAAAAGGGAGAGGCAACATGACAGAGTACTTGTTTTTAAATCCCCCATCAAATCCCTGCTTAAATTTTTCTAGATTACTTACTGTGTGAAAAAGCAGAAATGAAGACAAAGTTTTCAAAATCACTAAATAAGTTGTAATCAATTCACACTAAATAAAGTTATGCAGCAGGAAATGCAGATCAATGCAGATCTTCCAGGACCGAATTTTATTTTGTATATCGTTGTTTTTTTCTGGAATTATTCTGAATTGCAATTGTTATTACTCTACATCACCTGATCAAAACAATGTGGTTTCCTCGATAACTGTAGTTAGATTCATATAATGGAAGTAGTAATGGCAGGCTCACAGGATCCAAGTTCTTTAGGTTACTGTAGGTTCATTTATTTGTAACTTTGATTAAGTTTGTGTATAGAATTTTTCTCCATATTAAAATATCATTTTGTTACATTAATGATTTTTGGATCGGAATGCCTTTTTGTTTTTCGAGCATAATCCCTGATCAGACAGGCCGCAGTTTTTGTAGTGAGAGGCGTCTTTTTCCAGATGTTTTTAAGCATTTTGATTGCTGCTCATGCGCCTTTGTCATTTAATGGTTGAATCTGGCAATATTACCTTTCTTATTGCTAAAAAATCCCATGAAAAGAAAGTTTAGTTTAGTTTTGATTTCCCTACCCTGTATGTCGCACTCAGCCCTGTCAGTTCCTTTGTGAGGATGTTGATCTTTAAAAACGGTCTCAAATATATGCTTTCATTTTCATACATTAAATTATATTACAAAGAAACAAATAATAACTGTAGTTAGATATCAGGCCTGAAAAGAGGGCATGTGTTTCAAAAGCCCTCCATACACTGAGTCCTGAAACTCAAATCCAGGGGGGTTGAGCCTTTATGCATGTGTGTGCCTATCCTAAATAAAATGCAATGTCAGTGCTTCAGTGGAGCGTCCTTCTCACCTTGACAAAGAAAGTGGTACTTTGTAACCCCTCATCTCAAGTTGAGCATTGTTAAAAAGGTTCTTGTGACATTTTTGGGTTGCAGACTTTCGGGCGTCCTTGCTACGATTCTAAAAATGACTTTAGTGAGCGCAATCCAGTTCTGCTCACTGACCATGGGCACCCTGAATTTCACAAAGCAGATACAATACATGTTGATCACCTCCAAAGGGAAAGAATCCTTAAACAAAAAAGCACATTCTGTACCGTTTGACATCTCAAGTAATAAAAGCAGAGCAGCAAAAATAAAAACTGCACTGGAGATCAAATATTTTGGGTACCTCTATTCAGAGAAATGGGTTCCATCCAGAATACCCTTGTCATCTGTGTAAAAGCGTATTAACTGAACTCATTAATTATAGCTGGATATCTGTGTTGCAGTGTCCTCTTTCTTTTCAGCTCTGGTTTGAGATCTCCTGGGGAGCGGCAACATTGAATTAAAGCTTCACTCTGGGATCACTCAGGTCACTACCTATTCTCTTTGAAATAGGACTTCTGTAAACAGTCCAGATTTAAACATTCAGGGGGGCTTATTTTCACCTTTGAATAGGTTTGTCGAGATCTTATGAGCCAGACTTAAACCTGTAATACGCTGAAAGGTTGAAGAAACAAAGGTCACAGCGATGGTCCCACAGTTTAACTGACCCATGACCTCCATGAAGTACTGTCCAAAAACACCACAGTGATGACTGAAAAAATCTATTTACAGAAAAAAAACATTTAAAAGTAGCAATATACAACTTTTTGGACATTTAAATAACAAAAATGAACCATCAATATTAGTCACTGCCAGTCTCTGACGCCATTTCTACATGTCTAAATACCAGGGCCAGCAGTGAGCTGCAATCCCGCTATTGAAGTAAGAATAGTGGCCACAACCCAGCTCAGTCACGCCAACAACAAAGATGAAACAGTAAGTCAGTAAGTAATGAAAGAAAAGCCAAAAACTGCAGCACATTAGGCAAATGAGGTGGCACTATAAGCCCTGCATTTCCATAGAGGCAGGGAGTTGCATTTACTTAGGAGTGATGTAGTTATATGATAATATCTGACATGGCAGTATGAAAATAAATAATTTGCATGGCTGGATCCAAGTAAGCAAACATATTACAAATAGAGATTAGAGATATTTCATGCTAGATATCTGTAGTCAAAGGGCTTTAGAAAGGGCTGATAAGCCTTCTAGTCTCTGCAGTTTCTGTCTCTCTTTCCATCTCTTTGAACAACCATGTTGTGTGTCGTTATGATACTAAAAAAGATCCATCATTACACCTACGGTATGTTTGTTAGGTCAAATTTGAAACAGGAAGTCTGCTGTGGTGGATGAAAAGTTTTATCTTTCACATTTGTTTCCTCCTCCAAAGAAGTTTGGCTAAAACTTCTCTCACCATTTGTGTTTCTGCAAAATACAGAAAACTAATAAGCCGTGCTGAGCGGATATTCGTGACAGGAGACTTTATGTGACAGTAGAAAAAGTGGATACAGTTACACTGTTTGCTGACTTTGCAGAATGCAGCTGCTTTACAGTTACGTTAGCTTGTCACTCAGTGAGCCAGTAGAGGTACCATGAATGAAACAGAACAACGTTAATTCTACAGTGGAGTTCAGGATACAGCTATATGGCTTGTGTTTGAGCTAAATCGAATCTAATTAGACTAGTGACACTGCCGATATAAAAACGACCAAAGCGACAAGGCAATCTTTAAAACAGGGGTGTGTCTGATAAAGTTACAACGGAACCAGGCAGGTTTGAATATCACCCTAAAGTACAGTATGAGTAATGAGTAATGACTTAAGTGACATCCAAACAACCCTTTGTTGTAAGTTGTGTGTCTTTATAAAACGGTTGTCATTGTATAGGGTGGCTTCATCGCTGCATTTGAAAAGATTTTAATGACTGACAATCTGAATCTTTGCTAAACAGTGTCACAGTTGCACCTCAGGCGACACATGGCCTATTATCCCTATACCGCATACATACGCGCATGTGCAGGTGCAAGCAAGTCATCGGGATAAAAATGAGTATTTAAAGCGTCTGTCTGTTATGAGTGCATGAACACATGCTGACACACATGCATACAGACAAGGTGACGTGTGCTATGGCCCAGATATGTACACATTCACTCAAACACACAAAATACGGGAGATAATTTAGGCTATCAACGGGTCATTCCATACATGCCTTTTGGATAAATAGAAAGAGGGGCGGTGTGAGTGAGTGAGAGAGAGAGAGAGAGAGAGAGAAAATTAGAGAATTAGATTGGGGGGGGGGGGGGGGGGGGTTAATTGAGCTGCTCCGAAATGTCATTTGATCCAAGCAGCATCACAAAATGTTCTGACCATGACACACACACACACACACAGTAGATGAATGGAAGAATAACAGCAAGATAACAGGGATAGATAAAAAGATAAAGAGGAGACAGAGACAGAAAGGTTGCTGCTGGAAATTTTTTATGAAAATACTTTATACATTTCTCAACATTTATATAATCATAATTTGATATTAAAATGAAAATTAAAACAATATCCCGTTAACACATCTGCACTACACAACCGCAATCAAAATCTCACAACCCTACATCCTGCTGACTCACTGCCTATTGCGTCTGTCTAATTACGTCAGCTAAATGCCTAAAATCCAATATTACTAAGCTAATGGCTTAAGCACAGCCACCAAAGATATGGAGAGGAGGACGGCTGTTGGGAAGCACAGATGGATGGAGTGAAAGAGATGGAGGACTAAAAGGACGGAGACCACAAAGACATCAGGGAACACGAGAAAGAGGATGCAAAACAAGACCGGGACAAATTGATGAGACCCATTTTGGTTAAACTAATGGACTGGAAAAAAAAACACAATAAGAGACAAAGAGAGAGGAGGGTGAAACAAATATTTAGAAAGATAGCTGGAAGAAGACAGAGAGTAGCTATGAAGTAGAGTTAAAGTAAAGGAATAACAACTATAATATCCATATTGGCACTCATGTCGGTGCATTAAAAAGCCATTGTGGTCTGCTTTAGAGTGGCCCATTTGTATTTGATCGTCTGCTTTTGTGAGATGAGCAACAATCCATTCGGCCTACTTTGAGGCCAACTACTGTGTGTGTGTGTGTGTGTGTCTCACCGGGTTGGACCCTCCAGTCCAGTAGAGATAGAATCCATCTGGGTCAACTTTCAGGGTTACCAGGGTGGGGGGCCCGCTGTTGGGCTCCTAGACAATAACAGAAATAGAGACATTAAAGGGATGAACACACAATAATAATAATAATAATAATAATAATATCATCCATCTCACAGACACACACATATCACAGTAAGTAGAGTGAAGGTGAGCTCAAATTTTAAAAACATTAGCCTGTGTACTTAAAGGATTATTCCTGGAAACTTTATAACTTTGGTCTTATTTTCATAGATTTGACAATAAATTCTATCTGATAACATTGTCCTATCCAAACTTACTGCTGATGTCCGGGAACACGGCAACACTGTTTGAATGACATTTTTTTGGTCAAAAAACGAGAGTTCAGTTTAGCCAGATTATTTAAACCACTTTATTTAGAGGTATAATTAAAACTGAGCACATCTGAAATGTCGCTATAATCCCTTTTTGCACGGGACCACCTGGGAAAACTACCTGCAAAGTAAGGTAGGTCAAAATCAAACTAGGAAGTCAATCTGTAAATTGTGAGGGATGTTTACAACAGAGAGTTTCGGTAAAAATCATTTGCCTTCATTTCCATCTGTACATCAAAATAAGTTTGGCCAAAACCTGTCTGATAAAGACTCCAGTCTGTCTACTTTTTAGCAATGCTGCTGTGTTCCTAGAGTTGCAAGAGTGCAATTCGATCTGTAGTGATCTGTTGGAATTCAAAATTCAGTGTTTTTACAGCAGGGGGAGTTCCTAAAAAGCACTGTCCATCTGACCCACTGCATGCCCTGTTGTATGGCCACTAAAGTAGGACATTGGTGTTCTCCCCGCTAAAGCTAAATGGAGAAAACTAGCAAGACTTGCTGCTGAATGGATAAGCAAGACACCGAACCACCTGTTTAGAAGTATTTTGTATTCAACAAAGAGAAATTGTGGATTAAGTAAGACTGTTTGCTGACTTTGTAAAAGGAGCTGCTTTACAGTCCCGTTAGTTTGTAACTCAGTGAGGCAGGTTAATTCTACACTACAGTCCAGGATAGGGCTACGTGGAGTTTGTTTGAACTGCATCAAAAGAATTATCTATTAGTTTGAGTTAAATTTTCTGAACTGGATTCCTAAATGAGTCGTGGGCTTATTTCTGCTTGGTCACCGTGACAGTTTACCATTACATTTAAAATGATATGTAGTCTTGTTGTTATGTGCAGGAGGTTCCTTGTGGGTCCCTAAAAGGCACGGCCCACTTCGTTCCCAAGCTGTATTTAAAACAAAACAACTTAACTTCTGCTGTAAAAGAGGGTATTGAAAAAGCTACTCTTTACATTTCTTTACAGAAGTCTCACAGCAATATAAAGACAGTGTGATGTGAAATAAGCTGGTTATGACAGCGGTGGCTATACCTGCTGTTTTATGGTGCCCTGCCATTATGGGATTGTACACAGACAGAAAGACAGACAGGGATATTGTGTGCACATGTGGTGCAACAGCTGTTTTGATGCTGGAAACCACACAGTTTGGCCAGCATGAAGATCTCATTCATGTGCAGCATAATGATGGCATGGGAGCCTGCATCAACATGTCATTAGGATCATCATTATGGGGTCATACGCACAATCCTATGACCACACACGCACACACAGCTACTGGCTGTGTAAGTACACTGGTAAGCGGCCATACTCTGCTCCGACAGACAAACATACTATCCAGACATCCTGGGAAACAACGATGATGATCCAGATCGTTTGTTTTTACAGTGGCAGATGACTCATGTACACATGTCAACATGAGCATCAGTATCAGCGTCATCATCACCATCAGATGGGAAAAGAGAGGGAAACTCACAGAAAACCTTCCCATTGCCATACTATCTGAGGAAATACAGTAAGTTTACAAAAGGGCAACACACAAATACCTAACCACTGACCACATACAAATGCTACTTTTTAAATGTGGGATGGAACAAATAAAATGACTACCATATGATTTTAACAAAGCTGTTATACAAGTGTTCATAGGTTCATGTTTAACACATAAATGTGCAAACACAGACAGTTGAATGTTTGAATAATTCAACTAATTAAAATTCTGCATAACAAACACGATCTAGCATAAAATAATTGATGCAAATCCATTTCTAAATGACCTCAATGAAATGGGAGACAAAGACAAAGCAAATTACATAATGTTACATTATTACTTTATAGGATACTTTATAGCTCACATTAAGCTAAACATGCTTCTCATCCATCTCTACACAAGAAAGCGAATGCAAACAAGTGCATTCCTCTAAACGTTGGAACTATTCCTTAAAGAGGTCTCCTTAGTTTTAACATTTGTACCGCTCCAAGGAAATGTACATTTTGAGTACATTTTACACTGAACATACCTTGAGTTTAGGCTCCAAGGTCGGCTAACGGAGAAGGAGTTAGCAGGAGAGGTAGATTGGGAGGAGCACAGAGGAAACAGAGAGAGGAAAAGAGAGAGGGTTTGAGAAAGAGACCAATGGGAGTAAGGTGGATAGGAGAGGGGTGAGAGGAAAAGCGTTACAGTTGAAAAAGAAACTAGAAACAAAAAAAATGTCCGGAGAGAGACCATAATAAGCAACAGTAAAATTAGTCTTTTTAAAGTGGGCATCCCTAACTTAGAGTTTGGTGGTTATGAGACTACTTTGATACAACAAGAAGCTTCACTCTGTGGCACCAACCAGCTGAGAAGTTACCGTAAATTGCTGCTTTGCTTCCATATAAATCCCAGATATAAATCACTGAACTTGTGACCTGTGCTTACTCACTGGAACAAGTGAAACAATTTCATGCTGCAACCATCTTAAGGCTGTGACCTGATGTCAGATGCTCTGTTCAGCTGTTCCACGCTGAAAAGCCTGAAGTGAAGCCTGAGCTTGAATACCTGCAGCTATAGTTTCTTTATCTTCGTCTCACTAGGTTTGATTTTCGGGGACAACAGAACTCGTGTACAACACAAACTACAAACAGTCAGTCTGCAAGGTCCAGATGTTCCCACAGCCAAAATGCTGCAAAGAAAACATGACCAACTTCCATCCTTATTAGCAGAGAGCTTGGGTGATAGAGGCAAATGAGGCTATTCTTAAAAATTCCAGATCCACATTATGCATAAATTTAAAGATTGTGATCACAGCTTGTAAGTGGAACAGTCCAACTAACCTCACATTAGATTTTTACAGCCGTTTCAAGCACCATCACCTTTGCTAGGTCATCATTATAAAATATAAAAAAGGGATCTTTATAATGTTGGATGAATATGTTATGGAGATCATAGCTATGTACAGTAAGTACAACAATAGCAACAGAGAGCAAGGAAGAGAAGAACATCCATCAAGGTCATGTCCAGTAGAAACAACCAGAGGAGACAAATATATCACTTTGATGCATAGACCCTGTGTTAACTGTGGGATGATAAATATGTCTTCGACCTCAGTTTGACCCATTCACACCACACATTTGATCATGGGTAAATTCCTGGCCACTGCTGAGAGCACCCAGCACTTTATGCACTATACAAAATATTCAGGACTCACTTCAACATACAACAATCATGTTCTAGTTCATTTGAGATTGATAAGAGACACATTTATAGTTAGGAGAGATAAAACTTATCACATATTGTTTTGTTAGTGTATTATTGTAATAGTTCAATAGCTGTGGTGATGCTTTACTCTTACTGAGCAGTGAACATTTCTGTGTCCATGCATGACAAGAATTCAACTCTTGTTTCTTATTCGGCAGTCCCCCCCCCCCCATTCTATATCAGACACAGGTTGTGTTTATGTACACTTTGCAGTGGATGGGAAACTGCACTGCGATCAGACACAAACACGCTTTTTTCCCCACCTATATTAATTCACGGGGGATTGAAGCTATGCTCTCTTTTTCAGGGATACCCTGATCACATTCACACCTGGAAGATGTCCAGTATAACCACATTTTAGTCTATTGGACACTGAGCAGCTCAAATGGAGCAGCTGTTGTTGTTGTTAAGGGCCTTGCTCAAGGGCACCTTAGTGGTGGTAATGAGGGAGGGACAAGGGCAGCTTTTCACTTTACCTACCCAGATTTATCCTGCCGGCACAGTGGATTGACAACCTTCCGGTCACAAGCTTGCTTCTCTAGCCTTTAGGCCACTGCTGCCCCATATATTTACACATTTACCCAGAGGAATGGGATCTAAAGGCTTGTGTGACGAGTAATAAAACATCATCTTCCATATAGGGTTCAAGCAGCACAGGCAGGAGGCTGAACACACACACACACACACACACACACACACCATTGCGGTCAGATATATTTGCATGTTATGCCTGCTGAGTTTTACATACCTGGCAGTTACTTTCTAGTGCTGCCTTTCACCATGACACACACATCTTTGTTACACTACCCTCTGTCTGTCTCTCTCTCCCAGTTCTTTCACAACCCATCTGCCCTTTCAATCTTTCCATATGTATTCTACAAATTTACTCACTTAACCCATTCATTCTGTTATTTTTTGATCACGGATTGTTTTTATTGATGGCTCATTCTTATTCTCTGCTTCCAGCTTCAAAAAATGTGAGGATTTGCTGCTTTTTCTTTTTTTTTTTAATCATAAACGGAATATCTTTAGAGACTAAAATAATTAATCAAAATAAAAACAGGTTAACGACAATAAAACAACAATTAATTCATTGTCTTTATCTACTTTTTCATCCTTGCAACTGCACTGTAAAAGTGTGTTTCATATAACAAAAGCTCACTTAAGTTGCCAGCTGAAATTAAGGGACAATGTTAGAAACCTAACCAGGAAATCATTAGATCCTGCCCTCCACACTCACACCCCTTGCTTACTATAAACATGCTCCCTATGGTGTGTTTTCTGCGTGACAGTGCTTGGTAGTTCTATAATTAGACCTCACCCCACTCCCTAATTAACCGGCAAATGTAGAAACCTTCAAAATCTCGCCTCGCTTCCATCCTTTCTTTTCATTCTTTCATGCCTGTCTTTCTCGCCATGTCAATAATCCCTTCAAATTCACTCTCTCTTCCTTTTTTCCT